GAGAGAGAGAGAGATCATTTGTCTTCTGACATAAAATACTGCAGGTCCATCATCTATGTTTAGACGCTTCAGCTACAAGGAAACAAAGAAGGCAACAGATAATTTCAGCACCGTCATAGGGAGGGGTGGGTTTGGAACTGTGTATAAAGCTCAATTTGACAGTGGTTTAATACTGGCAGTCAAAAGAATGAATAAAGTCTCAGAGCAAGGTGAGGAAGAATTCTGTTGTGAGATGGAGCTTCTCGGGCGTTTGCATCATCGGCATCTTGTGGCTCTTAAAGGATTCTGTATTGAATTGCAGGAGAGGTAATTCCTTTCTATATTTCCAAAGGAAACGTCCGACTTTATATTTGTCTGGTACTTTTTCTTTTAATTGTGAAATCTCATTACATTTAGTTTGTCTATGGCCAGGTTTCTTATGTATGAGCACATGGAGAACGGAAGCTTGAAGGATCATCTACACTGTACAATCTAGCGTTTAGGCTCCATTGCTTGTTTTCCTGTATTTATTGTGCTATCTTGCTCCTTATATCCAGTACTAAGACATCTCAATTTGCAGCTTCTGGGAAAGCTTCCCTGGGTTGGCGTACGAGAATCCAGATTGCCATAGATGTGGCAAATGCTCTGGTATATGACTTTATCATCTCTCTCTCTCTCTCTCTCTCTCTATAGACACACATGCACACACTCAAAGAGGCACACTATCCATGCATGCATGTCATTGTTTATATATGTGCCTATGTTCTTATAGGGATTATTTCAATCTTTCCCTGCAGGAGTACCTGCATTTCTATTGTGATCCACCTCTCTGTCACAGAGACATAAAGTCCAGTAACATTCTATTAGATGGGAATTTTGTCGCGAAGGTATTGTACATTTTTCATATTGTGTGAATTGACTTAGAATCTACCTTAGTTAAATAAATTTGATAAGCTTTGAATGGACTCTACGACATATTATGTGTTACGCTAGTTGTTACATGGATTTCCCAGCCTTGGATCTGACTGCAATGCCAAACGGTGAGTTAAAGGGGTTTAAACCTTCATCCGTTGCGAATATATAGTGCTCTTCTATAATATTTAAGCTTTGATGGGGTCTGTTGAGCTTTAGGACTGCCATCCTCTTATGAGAATGAAAGGAAAAAGAAAAAGAAAGGATAGATGCTCAACTCCGAATGCTACCAACAAGCAATTTTCATATCTTGTAGGTTGCAGACTTTGGGTTGGCGCATGTTGCAAGGAATGGAGCCATTAGCTTTGAACCCGTAAACACTGACATCCGAGGAACCCCTGGTAACATTCTTGCTCAAATCTTTGTGTGATTCTCTAGAACCTCTTCTTAATGAAAAAGATCTGAACATGATTGAATCAAGCAAGTAGAATGACAAAATTATCCCCCATAATTTAGAAGTGAAAATGACAATATGCAAGCAATGTATGCAAATAATCAAACCACACTTTCAGCTGTACAACTGTATTCCATTGTTAGGTATTCATCCTATTCTAACGCATCTAAGAGATCCAATGGGACAGCCGAGATCCCAGTGGTGTTTGACTTTCCATACGCAATTGTGTGTAGTATACTTTCCCATTTAGAACAGAATTCACCTTCGAGTACATTTAGAGGTGGCAACGAGCCGAACGGGCCTAGCTTGGGCATGTTGAAGCTTGCTTTTAAAGAGAAGGTAAGCTTGGTCTCAGCTTTGCTTGACTTGGTAACTGATAACAACCCTTAAATTCCAGTCAAGCAATAAACAAGCCGAGCACAAGCTCATAACCTAAGGCAATATGCCATATAACATCTATATTATCCTTATAAAAAAAAAATAGTATCCATATTAATATAATATAATATTAAGTAGTATCCTATTTGAGGTGCAATCAATAAAACATATGTTATGTTGTAATATTTCTTTGTTATATTTTGTGTGTAATGTATTAAACTAGCTCACGCTTAGGTTTCTTCACCTTGAACTGCTAACAGGTTTGGTTTGGCTTGACAAGCCAAAAATTATTGCTAAAGCTTGGCTCGCTATGGGCCAAGCTAAATTGACTTACAAGCTTGCTTGGCTTGTTGACACTTCTGGTACATGATTATGAATGACAAAACTACCCGCCATTTGTATCCATGAACATAATCATTCTTTCATATACAGGATACATGGATCCAGAATATGTGGTGACTCAAGAGCTAACTGAGAAGAGCGATATATACAGTTATGGTGTTGTGTTGCTTGAGTTGGTCACCGCCAGGCGGGCGATACAGGAGAACAAGAACTTGGTGGAGTGGGCTCAAAAGTTCATGGCAGAGCCTGCGAGGCTGCCTGAGCTGGTGGACCCTACAATTGCGGATGCTTATGATTTTGAACAACTTCAAGCTGTGGTCACAATTGTGAGGCTTTGTACCCAAAGAGAAGGGAGATTCAGGCCCTCAATAAAGCAGGTGCTTAGACTTCTCTATGAGAGGATTGATCCCCTACAAAACAGCTTTTCACGGGCTGTAGAGAGAGAAATGGAGGATGGGTTTATGGGTGCTGGTGGGAAAAGCAAGGGCAAGGTGCAAAGAGGGGACGTTATGAGTTATAGTGGGGATGCGAGGTGCTTGCAATCATCGAGTAGCACGTCAAGGTCTTATTGTAGTAGAAGCTTTTTGCTTGAGAATGGTTCACCTCAGTCTCCACCTGGGATTTTCTCAGTTTGATGGCGAGAGCGGTTGGGTCATTTAGGTGGGGCTCATCCTTTGTAAGCATCCGTTTTGGATTACAATGTAGTTGGATTGAACTGGTGGGATGGCGCTGTATTATCAGGGTGGGAGCCACCCTCTTTGTCGTCATCAGTTTTGTCCCAACATTATTGCTTGTTTTGTACTGTAAACTATGGGCTTGATGGGGGAGGATGGAGTATCTGTTTAGAAAGATCTGAATCAGATTTGACTGATGGTTATTGCTCATTTTGAACTGTAAGCTATTGAGTTTTTGGCAAAAGCTACGATTATCATAGGGACGGAGCCACCTATTCTGCTAAATCAGTTTTGGTCCCTTGGTTATTGCTTGTTTTGGATTGCAGTGTAACAATGTAAATGTTGGTCTGGTTGAACCCGGGCAAAGCTCTTTCTTTTGTGTTTTGGGTGTTCTTGAGTTTGAGTTTTCTATGAATCTTAATTGGGTCTCAATTGTATTGTTTTCACAAAGACCTGCCCCAGCCTTGTAGAAGCAATTTGTGTTGGGGTATGTATGCTTCTCTATTAACAATGATGAGTGGTACAAGTAGAGCCCATGATGTTGTGGGCTATGGAGGACTTTGTGAACTTTGTGACCTGCGTGTGTATTGATTCATTGTTCTCCTTGGCACTTTGAGAGCTTTGGGGTAGTTGATGGGGTTTGCAGATTTCTCTTCTTTCTTTACGCATCTAGCTGCATATGGTCTTCCATAATGACATTGATTAGCATGCCTATAATATCTCTGTCTTCGTTTCTACCTTTATATGTTCTTGGTTTCCATTTACAAATCCTGGGGCTCGTATCAATCTAGCAGAACCCCAATTGTTGGAGATGAGAATTGGATGCTAGGTATTATTGTTCCTTGGACAATTTGGAAGGTATAAAGGTGTTTTATGGTAAGCTTGGTAGTGTCTAGTTTTAGTGGTGTTTTTCAGGCAAGTGGGAGAGGGAAATAGGACTAACTTGATTAGCTGTTGTGGACCAATTACTTCTCGAAAATATTCAGCAACTGCAATATTAAGCAAAATGTTTTGATAGGGTTGTAGCTTTATCGAAATCAGTAAAGTGTCATCTCAAAACTCAGTTATTTGGAAAACCTTAAAATGGATCATGTCGGTCTTGACCATTATGGTTGCGGAATAAAGAAAGGATTTCAAGTCTTAAAAATAGTGTCTATTGTAATACATTATTGAGCTTGTTCATTTTGCCCTAAAAATAAGTATTCATGGATAAACAAGATATGTAAGCTTCCAAATTTTATAGTTATTAGAAAATGATTTGGTGGGATCATGGAGATTTACTTAGTTTTCATATAGCCCAGGTCTTATAGAAACACGTTTTGTTATTAATTGTGATTAAAATAATCATTCCAAAGTGGGCCTTTGGGTAATCCACAAGGCGAAACAAGGAGCCCAATATTGCAATCCATGACGAATCACAGATCAAGGAATGTTGAGCAAGATAAAAACCACTCTATTGAGATGCCACAGTCAATGGAGCTCCCATATTACCTTATGGGAGATGCTATTATAAGGGGTTCTAAAATTGACATTCCATAGGTTGAAGGAAAGGTAAGGTTCCCACTTGAGCTCTTAACGAACAACCATTCGATTTTCTTTATGTCACGTTAGGTGCATGTCAAAATATTTCTATGAAAGTATTTTCACATAACAAAACTTCAATGTAATTAGGTGTGGGAGTTTTTCACATTCATTGGTTCAAACACATTTTGTTACACTAAGTGGCAGCCCGTTGATACACACCAAAACTGATAACCACTGAACCATATAGTGCTTTAGCATCTGTTGCAACTGTACCACTTTGTCATTTTAGCCTTATTGCATCAATCGGTGATACCAAATATAAAGTATGAACGCTCTACATACTTTTGGACATGACTCAAGTTTGAGTATAAGTAACATCACCTCAATATCAGTGGAAACCTTTACAAAGGGGAGGAGGACCCATGACCCTAAATGAAGTGACCAATGGAATCTATATGACCCACTTTATTCCACATACTTGGAGACTTTTTCTTCAAAAGATAATTCCACAGAGGACTTGACCACTGATTTCAACAAAAAAAAAAAAAAAAAAATTCCGGAGGACTTGACCACTGATTCAAAAATGGCCCATCGTTTGGGACTCTAGTTATCCTCATTTTTGCACAATATTGTAAATTCATAAAAGTTTTCTCAGCTGGACACACGAACAATTATCCATCCAATGGACCTTATGCCATAACATCATGTATTTCCTTTAGATTTATCTCATTAAGTAAGACTCATGCACTCAATCTTTCATTTTCTCAAAATAAAACTTATTTGCATTTCCTTGAGTAAGAAAGGTAATTGCAAATCCTGAATCTGAACCATTAACTACAAATAATGAAACACGAACCATCAAATCATGGCGATAAGGGGGAGCATCTACCACGACTTGACTCATTGAAACACAGAGACAGAGACTCAAGAGGTCTTGTTGGCCCTTGGCTTTATCTCAGGCCTTGCCACCACCACGGGAGTCCTCACCACATGCTTTGAATAAGCAGCCTCCCAAATCACATAGCCATGGATTACCGGGCTATCACTAGTTAACTTTCCTTCTATACTCACACTGAACTCTCTCTTTTCGTACCTTCGCTCGAAAATCAGAGTTTCCGGCACCACCTTCACCGTGAAACCTTCCAATCCGGTAGTTGTCCTCACGTTGTAAACTGAAACTCTGTCTCCAACATTGGTGAGGACCCTCTTAAAAGCCTGCGAAACCTGGTCAGAATTATCACAAAACGCCACGAAAGCTGGATAATTGAGGTCCAAAGATGGTTTGGAGCAAGTATAATTCGAACCCCTTGTAATGGTCTTGATTTGATTTTGGGTATAATTTAGAGCACAGAGGAGGTTCACATAGTCTTCAGGCCCAGCATCATAGATGAGCCCAGGGTCCATGGCAGAGTTCGGGTTCACATGGCCTGCACCCATGTCTAGTGGGGTTGCAGGTACACCAGGCTCTTTGTCAGAGGCCCCTATAGGTTTGTTGGTGTTGTCGACAAGGTTGGCCGTGGTCATCAAAGCAGAACGTATGGCGGCCGGGCTCCATTCTGGGTGCGTTGCTTTTAGTAGAGCCGCCACACCTGACACATGGGGGCATGCCATGGATGTTCCAGATAGAAGGTTGAAGTCATTGAACAGAGATTTCGAGTCGAGTCTACCAGCTGGTATGTTGGGTGGCCATGCTGCAAGAACCTTGGACCCTGGAGCCATGACATCTGGCTTCAGGACCCCGGGAGTAAACACTGATGGCCCTCTCGAGCTGTAAGATGCAACAATGGGCGCTGGCTTGGCACCAAATAATGTGTGCTGGAAGCTCAAGGAGGCCTGTGGCTCGGTGCTCTTAGTTACATAGTCAAGTAGAGGCTTTGCCTCCTCTTGGCTTATCAAGACTGCAGGACAAGGTATGTTTATATTTAGGAAGGAAGTCAGGTTTGTGATGAGCACTGCCCCTGCGACTGCTGTCTCTGTTACGAAGCCTATCTGCGATTTCAAATCTATTGTGTCGTTCCCTTCACATACCACGATGGCCTTGGTATTCGGAGGGAGTAATGTCGAGGAGTTGCAGGCCTTTAAGGTGTCATTGTAGAGAAGCGGAAAACCTGATAGGTGCTCATTCTTGAGGAAGAAGGATGAGCCTGTTATGGACACTCCGTTGCCAAGGGTTATTTGGGCTGAGAACTGGCGGTCCATAGTGCCGGCAGCCACAGTGAGCTGCCAGGGTGCACCATTGTGCAAACTGCCAAAACTGTGCCCGGCGTTGCCAGCCGAGGAGGATACGACGATTCCCCGCTCCATTGCCGAGAAGGATGCGATGGCAACAGGGTCCTCGTACAATGGAACCCTATTGAATCCCATTGAAATTGAGATGATATCAACACCATCCTCCAGTGCACTATCCAAGCCAGCCAGCACATCGGAGGCGTAGAACATCTCATTCCAGATAACTTTGTACATTGCCACCCCGGCAAGTGGCGCCATCCCACGAGCTGTGCCGTTTGCATACCCAAAGTATGATGCGCCCGATACATAGTTGCCCGCAGCCGTCGACGCAGTGTGGGTCCCGTGCCCAATAGTATCCCTGGTTGAGTTCATGGAGAAAGTTATGTTAGGATTGTTCTTCTCCACGCCTTTATTGAAGAAGCGTGCGCCAATGAGCTTCCGATTGCACAGTGACGAATTGAAGGCAACGCCAGGATCGCACCCACCCTTCCATTTTTTCGGCACCTCAGGCATGCCATTATCATGGAAGCTCTCACTCTCTGGCCAAAGACCGGTATCCACCATCCCGATAATGACGCCACTTCCATATCCCGATTTTGGCCCAAGGCCAGTGTCGGAGCCAAGGCCAATGAATTCAAAGGTGTGCGTAGTGTCGAGCGTGGCTTGAACATCTCGATAGGCCGAGACAAAGCCGTGCGAGCGAGAAAGCTCATCAAGCTCCGAGGGTGAAAGGGAAGCAGAGAAGCCATGGAGGGCGTGGTCATAGGAGTAGAGGTGGGGAGGGGGGTCTACGGGAGAGAGGGCCACAAGGATTGCTTGATGCCACTGTTGGTGGGTCTTATGAGCACTGGGCATGGCGGAGTCATCCATGTGGATTATGTAGGTGCTCCTCTCTATTGAAGAGGAGGCATAGGCATGGAGGAGAAGCCATGAGAAGAGAGCTAGTGATTGTAGAGAGTGTGTGGCCATTTGATTGAAGTGGGATGGATTAACTCTGGAGAGTGTCTGATTAGTTATATATACATGAATGTGGGTGTTTGCAGGTGGAGAGGGAGAACCGGTCACCTCGGATGTAAGTGTTGGAATCTCAATAAGCATGTAGTCAAGCCTGAAGAAAATGAGAGCTAACAAGTCACGATCTACCCACAATTGAAAAAGAGCCATCATTTATCCATTTAAGCAAAAGTAAACAAAGGTTTACTAAGTATGAAAAAGAGAAAATTACTAAGACCCCTGGACTTTGTGAAGGGTCTTAGGTTTTTCTGAAAAGACTCAATGTCCATTAACTATATAAATGTACATATTTGTTTTTTCTACACAAATTACAGATGACACTAATAGAAACTAAATCATATATACCTAAACTATACCCAGACTTACTATAAAATACAGATACTCTACTAATGCTTCCCATATATAATGATTGCAATACATATTTTCTATATTAACTCGATACATAATAAATACTTTCTTTTCACAGACTCAATTTTCAATACATTCTCCTACCAACCACTTTTTTTATCACAACTTTTACCTCAAAACTAACTTTAATAGTACAGACCTCTCAAGTAAAAAAGTCATAGTTGTAAAAATAGAAATGCCATTCTTCGTACATGAAGGAGTCACATTCTCAGATCGGGAAATGCATCTGGGATACCATTCTCCGTACCCGAAGGCATCATATTCCCGGATTGGGAAGTGCATTTGGAATACGCATTGTTGGATTGTGTTGAAAAAGTGTCGGACCGCGTAGAAGAGTTGCCAGAGCGCATAAAAAAGTGCCGGACCGTTGAGTGCATCAAGAAGATGGGGTGCCGGACCGCAAAAAAAATGTGCCAGTCGGCTTGGAAAAAGTTCCGGACTGTGAATGTATCCAGAATTTGCACATATTGACTGGGGGTTGGGGTAAATGCTATAAAAAATAGTGTTTGAATTTATTGAGAGATCTAAAAAGTAGTTGGGGGGGGGGGGGGGGAGGTAGTCTATAAAGTGCAATTTGGGGTGCAATTTGGGGGGTGTATGTAATTTTCCCTATGAAAAAACCATAAGCCTTCTGACTGAAACCATAGCTCAGTGGAAGGCACTTTTTGTTGCAACTCTTAAGGTTGTCCAGCTAAGTTGTTAAGTAAATGAGATCCACCATAATTGACTTTTTTATCTTTTACTATTTTAATCTTAAATAGGTCCCATTTCTTGGTATAAGTAGAAATGATCCACATCCAGGAAGTAATCTTGAAATGTTTTGGAAACAAAAATCAAAGAGCACCATTGTCATTTCTGATAGATAAATGAGGAAGTCTCTTTTTAATAATTTATTCATTTTCTAATCAAAGAGTACTATTGTCAGTTAAGGTTTCAAGCTTGCCTGCCAAAAAGGAGCGGATAACTCCAGTAGAACAAATTTTCTCATCGTTTAATTATTTAATCTTGGATAGTTACCATATTATGTTAGTAGTGAAAATTGATCATGGAATAGACCTTAACATGGCTTCAAGAAGAAGCAAAACATTTTTGAAACAAACATCAAAGCGCACTATTAACATTTATGATATTTGAGGCCCTCTTTGTTGCAAACTTATGCTAGCTACCCAGAAAGGAAGAAAATAAGCTCCAAAATATTTTTTCTTATCTTTTATCTCTGTAGAAGTATAAAACATTTATAAAGTGATTTTGATATGTTTCTTGAAAAATGTATACAATGAGACCATTAACTTTTGATATAAGAAGATTACCATCATCACTTACCATTAGATTTGAAATCTGGTGGTTCAGGTTTTGTCACTATCCGGGCACACATTCCATAATAAAGTATCTTGGATGTTGTAACAAGCTTTCATTTATTGGATTTCACATCCAATGCCCAAAAATAATTGTTACAAAAAATAATTAGTCTCATAATATATAATTCCTATTTCTTAAGGAACAAAAATCAAAGGCACTAGAGGGTTGGTTTTGTATAGTGGGGCTAGTCTTCCGGTTTCACCGCAAGTTGGAGTCCGAGCCACCTCCAAATTACCCCAAAAACAATAGGAATAGTGTAAATAAACAACCATTTGGAATCATTGTTTTGACGCACATCAACCAAATAAGTTCATGTTGAATGGCCCAGCAAATCGTTAGTCACTGGTTTGAATAATTGTTTTTGGTTCCAAACTTACGTCAAATCCTTAACAACTGGAAGCTTTAATCCAACTATACTTAAAAACCTATAAGAACATAATGATCATTTCCCTTATTATTTAATGTTAATTCTTCTATTAAATCATATATTAATGAAGTTTAGAGCCAGCTCTATGCATCTTCACCTTTTCTACGAGCTTTTAAGCTTTCAAATACTATTAGTTAAGGGGAAAATATTCAATAAGACCGTCATGCCTTATAATTAGATATGAAATTAGGTGGCTAGAGGTAATGCCATTCACTATTCTCTCCTAAAATTTTCTCATACTCTACGTCAAGGAGGGACATGACTTTAACTTTCTTTAGATCCAACAACTAGGAGTAATTCTGACCTTCATAACATTTTCCTTTTTTATTTTTATTTTTTAACTTTTTCCGCATCCTCAATCTGGACGATCCAGGTCACCAATCTGGTCGATTCAAACCAGGATCGGTGGTTAGATGATTCACCTCACCAATCTGGGTTTATATGCTATCCCTTTCTGGTTCCAGATAAAATTTATTGTCATCCAAAAGGGTCCTTGGTATTCTATCACCTTCTGGTTATATCCTTCCATTCTTAAACTAGCAGTGTACTTAATCTTCCCTGCCCATGAAGTAGTTTGGAGAGGGCTTCTTAACCAGAGGGTATGGTATCTAACATTTTTTTTCCTAATTTGAGAAATTCTTCCCATGTGCTAGGGGACAGTTTTCATCATTATTTAGCCAATTTGACCTTTTCACATAAGTTTTATAAAGTTGTCCATAAGCTTTATGGAAAAACCTTCTACGAAGGCGAACTTCCCTACCTGAAGTGCATGTTAAAGGTGGGTTCTAATATTTTTTCAGTCATATTTCATATTTATTTAAGTTTTATAAACTTGTTTCCAATCGATCGCATCGATTAAAGTTATTTGAGGAGAGGCAAGTTGGATCCCTCATCTTACCGAACGGAGATTTCACTAAAGGGTATAGTTGGCATACAGACGCTTTTGTAGATGTAGAGGTACGGTGCCCTTCAAATTTTATCATGGTATATAATTTTGATGTAAATTGTTATTAGGATTATCTCAAAATTTATTTTTATATCTAATTATAAAATTTTAAATTAAAAAAATGGTTAAAATCAAGTAGATCTATAAACATATGAAAATCTTGAAAATAGACGGTGTAGATAATATGTTGTAAAATGCACTATTTCTGAGACTTGAAATCTTTTTATTTTTCATAGTCATACATTTCGATGTCGAGATGATCAATCAAAGGGTTTTTCAACATTAAAACTACCTTTTCCGATAGATTTTGAGGGGCATATGTAGTTCTACATTATAAGGTAGCATCCTTATATAAACTTTTCCCTTCATTAAATGCTGTAATATGGAGTTATGAATTCCCTGGAGTCTAAGGTCGATATGGCCACAAATAATGGATATTGGAAATTTATTGGACATTGTAAATTCCCTAATTAAAAAGGGGCATTTTATTTCAATTTTCTTATTATCAATATTTAGTCTGGATGTTATTATTGTTATTATTTATGTTATTGTTGTCTAAGGTTATTATCAAGATATTATTGGAGAGCCCCGTATTATCGTGATAATACTGGACATATCATCGCCTTTGAATTTTTTGAAATACTAACATGTTAAAATCAACTTATGCGATAATCGTCATTAAGCTTATAGAAATTGGATGACTTTGAATTCAAATGGGAAAGTATATAAAGAGACTGTTTACTTTTTGTACAAGGAGGTCATAATCATTTTTGTCCCTTAATTTTCAAAATGGGTAATTATAAGAGTGTCATTGAATAAACACAAAGTTCCAAAATAAAATTTTCGGACTTCGTGACTCACCTCAAGCCATCCAATTTGACATCTAATGAGAGGGAGTAGTTATGACATCCTTATAATAAAAATAAATGGTTTTTTTTGTAAACAATCCCAATTAATTATCCGTATGGCTACTTAAAAGGTAGCAAAAATTCTAACGTTTTATTATTTTTGAATGCTAAAATTTTGAAAAACCTTAAATACGGCTTAAAACCTATTTAAATTTTCATTTGAATATCAAAATAGGGTTCGATTTAATGCCTTGAGCCCCATAAAAGGCTGCTATAGGGAGTTTATATTTATTCTCTGACAAATAATATTATAATATTTTTATACTTCCACATCATTTTTTCTGATAGAATTCCAAGTACCCAATAAAAAAGACCCAGCCAATGATATCGGTAAACTTTGTGGACAATAATATCACATAATTAAAAGTTTGGATATTTTGGAGAGGGACACATCGGCCATTTTCAGAGGTAGATGTACCCGAGGGTTTCAAATCTGACTGCTTTTGTATCGACAGGGATGGCTGCTTTCATCCCTATTGAATCATCGCTGCGATTTTTAGCACTTCATGGCACTTTTTTATCACATGTAACCGTCTTTTATGCAGTCCCTTATCACCCCCACTACTTTGCTCTGATCTCTACCCTCTCCACCGCTTAAGAATCCCTCTCTAGTTTCAAACTGAAGGGTACATGTTGCAAATTGAACGAGGCAAAAAAGCCTTTCTTATGCAGAGTACAATTTTATACAGAGAGAAACAAGGGATGTCAAGTGGAGAGGCAGGTGTAAGTCACACAATATCAAGGAAAGGTGAAGTCACACAACAACAAAGATAGAGTTTTCTCGAGCAATGGAAGGAAGGTGAAGTCTTCCGACAGCAAATCAGCGGCTCGAGCAGGGCTTGAGCAGCAGCTACTTTGACACAGATCAGAGGTTCTCAATAGATCTCAGAAACAATAGCAGGCAAAGTGAACGGTGAGAGAAAAAACGGTATGGAATTTCTAGTACGAATATGAAGGCTCGATACGGATAGGCTAGACAAAGAAGCTCGGATGAGCTCTTATGTGCGTTGAGGAGTCTATGGTTTTGTTACCATGTATTTCTGTGGTGCTAAAAAAAGTAACATATGTAATAAACATCAAAGGAAGGAAAATATCGCACAAA